AGGCCTGGGAAATTCACAATAGCCCCACCCCATCTGATTGCCACTGGGCCACTTGAGTTAACTAAGCTGCATGATAATATTCCTAGAAGTTTAGGTGTCCCAGTCCGCCTTGCAATTTACAGTCTGTAATATACCAATTTCACTAGATGGTGGCTGGTACAGTACGTTTCGTAGTAAAATAGAGGATTCCTGTTTCGAATGTCTGAAGTCTAAAGGCTGGAATGGCGACCTGTAGAGCACTCTAATAGTACAGGAACTTTGATAAGAGGGCCATTTTCAAAGTAGAAATCCACCCCAGAAAAGATATAGTATTCTCCTCCCAGATTAAACATACTGAATTTAGAAGACGAGAATGTTTTACGTACCTCGTTTGAAGGACTCATTTGAAGAATTATAAAAGATTATTAAGTACAAACGATTTGGGGTTTATATGGTTCTTTATATTGCTTTTGTGAGTTTTCAAACATTAGTATCATAAAAAGAAAGTTATTTTGTATATCATAGCAACCAGTTACATTTGCTGTCCTGTTCATTAACAAAAAAAATATGATGGAGTTTGAATGATTTTCCTTAAGATAAGCACCATTATGTAATTTTGTTTAATTTAGCATTTCCTTTATTGTTTTCCCATATCAGAAAACCGGAGGTAGCAATGGCAAAATTCATACTTCACAAACTACGTTGTTTGCTGCAGAGATATCTGCACTTGAGTTCTTGGGTCTCCTCACCTGCTATGACAAATTTCATGGGTTTCCTCTGCGTTGAAATGTGAATCCACATAATAGCAAATGCAACAGGAGGTACTGGAACACACAATGTTGGGTAGGACCATCCAATACTCCAAAGCAGAACCAGAGTTGGGAATTATAGTAGTGATATCTCACTCTTGGATCATCTAAATCAAAAGAAAGCCAAAGGACCGACTCACCTCACCAGGATCCATCTAAAGAAAAAAAGCATTTTTGGGTGGGTTGTCTTTTAAAATGTAGCTGATGGAAATTTAACATCAAGAAAGATTAGAGTTGAATAACCAGTATATTCTGCATATAACTACATATACAGTAGCATACTACTTGCGTTGTGCACCGAGGCATTTTTTTCAAAGTACCATGTGCAGGGATCACCCATACAAGCACTTGCAGCTGACATTTGTGTTCCCTTGTTCCTGGTGTTAATGGTCCATCAGGTAGTGCCACATTTCCGACAGACTGAGGCTGAAAGAAGGGTTGATTATTCAGAGCAACACAACTAAGTGGAGCAAGGCAAGCCACAGATTATTCGATTTTCTTTCCTGCCACCACAGGCAGTGAAGTATATTTTCCCTATTATATTATGCAAACCTATACAAGAGCCGTTGCTGGATCACAGACATATTTGTAACACTTTACAAATTTGGTATGTCTTTTAACAGTGTGCTTAGACAGTTAGCTAGAGGTGCCCTCTATATACAGTATATCAACTCTAGTCTGTGGGCCAAAAAGCAAATCCTTGCCTCTGGTTTTCTCTAAGTCAGAGCTGCAGCCTATATACCTCTCCAGAGAATGGCAAGCTTTAATATATATATATATATCACACTATTTTATGCATGGTCATAGGTTATAATAGGTTTTCCTATTGAGTCATGATATTGCTGTAGTATAAATAAATTCATTAAAGAACTGAAACTAAGACTAAACAACCCCAAATACAAGATGGAAAAGTAAATTGAAAAAATATAGTTAAATAATTAATCTAATTTGCTATTAAAAGAAACCAGAGCAGAGAATAATAATATTTAGCGCACACAGGTAATGGGATTATATAAAGAGATCTACAACATAACTACTCCCTGTTCTGCTTTTCATTATATTAGTAAATTAAATTCCCTGGAAGTAAAAGAACCATTAAAACACGCTTATTATGAGTAATTGCACCAAAATAAGTAACGCCATCTGATAGATTCTCTGCGTTTTTCTTCCAGGCCGTAAAACACTGAAGTGCACTGGCAGCAAACCAGATAAGGCAAAAAAAAATTTTTCACTTCTTAAAATACAGCATTTATTTGAAAGACTACAAAGCTGAATGAACCTATACATTACTATTATTCAGAAATAGATTTACATTCACTGAACTCTTCTGTGACTTCCTACATCCATATAATTTACATTGTGCATACATTTTTTTTATTGAGAAAAAGCTGCAACCATATATTATTCTAATGCATCCAATGAAAGCGGAGCTCAAGAAAGAAGTTTATCAGGGTCTCCTATATGTAGAAAATAGAAAAAGCAGGAATGTGATGAAACTTGGATTGGAATTTAAAAGCCTAAAGTGATTGTAAAGGTTATTTTAATAAAAACATCATACTTTCCAGCACTGTGCAACGGTTTTGCACAGAGCAACCCCAAACCTCCTCTTTTGGGGTTCCCGTTGCTGCTCTTCCTTCCTTCCGAGTGCCCCCATAGCAAGCCGCTTGCTATAGGGGCACTTTTATGGGCTTTATCTTGAGCCAGGCTGTGCTCGGTTTTTGACATACACAGTGCAGCTTGGCTCTGTTTCCTGCTCCCTCCAACAATGAGCTTCTCTTAAGTATCATAAATGTGAATGAAGTTAACCCAAAGGTGTGAAGTGGCATTCCCAGTGGAAGTGGCATGGAGTCTAAGGTCCAACTGATATTCCATTAAGGACCCCTTCACTAAAGTGTGGACTTATCTGCATGCAGACCCCAGGTTGTGCCCTTTCCACATGGAAACTAACCCAATCTTGGCAGATAAGTCCAGAGGTATTCTAGTGACTGTGGTCTAGCCAAGAACCATGCTGTGGTGAGGGCCTTAAAGTAGAACTAAAAGTTCAGTAAACAAAGTGTGAGCAAACAGTTTTATATCAAAGGAAAAACATGTTAGCAATGTTCTATTGAATGTACACAGAGCTGTGCATGCATACATTCTCAGCAAGATGCCAGTGTGCCTGGATGAGTGACCTCCATGCACATATGCAGGAGTCATGTCATCCTTTCTGACCAATCAAGAGGCTGAAAACCTGGCACCCGCAAGAAGCCCAGAGAGAAGATCTTAGCAGCCTGCGAGGGATCCACTTATCACACAGCTGGAACGGAGGTGAGTATTCTGCAGGCTTTATGTTCTGATATAAAGTGGTAGTAAAGTTAACAGAAAAAAAAGGTCCCCCATGTAGGCTTAAGCCATAATGTGATAGTATGCACTGCATACTAGCACATTATGTCAGACTTACCTTTAGAAAGGATCCCTCCACAAGAATTCCGCCCTGTCACAGGAATTCCATATTCGTCCGGTCTTCTTCTGGGTTTACGGGCTCTAGCCATTTGATTGACTGAGCTGGGAACGGGTATGCGCTTCCTTCAGAGCGCATGCACCAGTAATGTCACCTGCTGCTGCTCGTTGGAATATCTCCTAAACGGTGCACGTTTAGGAGATATTCTTTTAATCTACAGGTTAAGCTTTATTATAAGCTTACCTGTAGTACAAAAGTTGCAAAGCGGACTTTACTACTGCTTTAATATTGCAGAGTACACCAAAGGAGGCTGGAAAATCAAACAGGAGCATACAGGGAAAAACAGCTGACCAGCCCGGCCAACGGGACTGTGAACCTCACTGCAACAAGCTGGAACACAGCAAAGATAAAGTTGGTTTGTAGTTCATTGAAGATAGCTGAGAAAGCTGATATTGTTTGAGATTTCGTTTGTGTACAGTAAGTTAAAAGGACACTGGATTTCTTACAGGTTCAACCAGAATTTTGTCTGTACTTGCAGAAAATGTATTTATTGTGAAAAGAAAATGCAGCCACCACATTTAACTGGTAAGATGAAATATATTACATGTTTGTTCATGGGTTTAGATGCACTTCAAATATGCAATATGAAAAAAATATTACAATTAAATTATTCCAAGCAGCCATCTCTTGTGTTTGAGCTTTCCTTATACACCACACATCCTCCTGCCTACAAAATGTATGTCCTACATTAGTTTTCATGATCAACACAGGAAATTTAAATGAATTTGCTTCTAATACCATAACTTTGTGTAGCAGTCACACTGCTTTTTATGGCACTAGAAAATAATTACGAAATCCATCATGATACCTCTTCAAGTATTAGAAAATGTACTCCACCCATGACTAATCTAATACCGGAAAAGTTACCTGACAGAATCCAATGTCACAGAATGGAATATAAGGACATCAGTTACAGAAGAACTTTAAAAAAGCAAACCCAAATACTCCTGCACTTGGGAATGGACTCAGCATGGGCTATGGCAACATCTCGGATGTCCTGGAATGTGCACTCCTTGCTGCCCTCAAAGGACCGTGGTAGTCCAAATGCACTGGACATAAAAAAACAAACAGAGGGCACAACGGCCTAGTGCATTACCGTAAAAAACATTTATTGAGATAATAAAAATAAATGCACTAGGCATGTGTTCTTTTTGTGTTCTTTATATACAGAAGAACTTTACCCTTATCTTAAAAATTACAACAAAGGCACCTTTAGAAATGTTTAGTAATGGCAATCAACAAGCAGATACCTATAGATAACTAGGTAGGCTTTGTATTATTTGCATACCTAATTCTCTTTTTCTCCCCATTATTCGCACAGTGGCCATTTTCATGGCAGCTAAAGCCATGTCCCTTTACTTCCTGGAACTCTGTCTAGAACTCTGGGTCAGCCTCCTGGAATATGTGACAGGAACGTCCCAGGATATAGCTGTGAGGTCAGGGTTATATCTAGAGATGAGCGAAGAAATGAAAAATTCGATTCGACTGATTCGGCGAATTCGTGGACAATATTCGATTCGAGTCGAATAAATTCGCTGTGAATTTAACTTAAAAAAGGGTGTTTCTAGGGCTTCAGAGAGACTTAATATTAGTGCAGAACACTGTACCTTTAATTTAAATGCCCTTGGAGTCTGCTGGGGAAGAGAAATAATACTGTCAGGCAGTATGACATGCAGATGAGTGCCGTCGATCTTAGAATCACTGCACACTTCACTCCTTTGGCCAGTCACGGGGCCAAAACCAGTGTTTGGAGCCACAGTGTGGCGGTGGAGGCAGCAGCAATGGGAGGCCATACAGCAACCTATGACAAAATGGAAACCAGCAGGAGCGTGAGGAGACCTGAAAGTGGCACATGGCAGAGTGGGAGCAATGGGAGGCGGTACAGGGACCCAGGTCACACTGTGGGCCCAGCAGCAGCGTGACCAGGCGGTACGGGGGCCCATGGCCGATATGGGGCTTGGTGGCACCTATGGAAGGCCTGTAATCTGCCAGCAACCTATGACAAAATGGACAACCGCAGGAGTGTGAGGAGATTTCAAAGTGGCACATGGCAGAGTGGAAGCAAATGGGAGGCCGTACAGGGACCCAGGTCACACTGTGGGCCCTCAGCAGCAGCGTGACCAGGAGGTACGGGGGCCCATGGTCGATATGGGGCCTGGCGGCACCTATGGAAGGCCTGTAATCTGCCAGCAACCTATGACAAAATGGAAAACCGCAGGAGTGTAAGGAGACCTCAAAGTGGCACATGGCAGAGTGGAAGCAATGGGAGGCCGTACAGGGACCCAGGTCACACTGTGGGACCAGCAGCAGCAGTGACCAGGAGGTACGGGGGCCCATGGCCGATATGGGGCCTGGCGGCACCTATGGAAGGCCGCTAATCTGCCAGCAACCTATGACAAAATGGAAAACCGCAGGAGTGTAAGGAGACCTCAAAGTGGCACATGGCAGAGTGGAAGCAATGGGAGGCCGTACAGGGACCCAGGTCACACTGTGGGACCAGCATCAGCGTGAACAGGCGGTACGGGGGGCCCATGGCCGATTTGACCTCATTCATCCCATAGTCCTGCCGACTCACGAATAGCGTGGCCTCCTCAAAGGGCCTGAGCAAGCGCAGGTGTCACACATGAGCTGACAATGGCTGACATCTAGTTACACAGGGAGTACCTTTATCCGCTTTTAACATCAGGAAATCTGTGATGGCCTTTAGCTGTTCGTAAAGGCGGTCTAACATATGTAGGGTTGAATTACACCTTGTTGCAACGTCACAGCATGAGGAGTCGGTACGGGGGCCCATGGCAGATTACATGTCTGGCAGCAGCAATGGGAGGCCCGTAATCTGCCAGCACCCTATGTCAAAAAATTCAACACACCAGCAGTGTGAGGAGACCTGAAAAGTGGCACATGGCAGAGTGTGGCGATGGAGACAGCAGCAATGGGAGGCCGTACAGGGACCCATGAGAGACTCTGGAACCTAGCCAGCAGCATGAGGAGGCGGTATATAGGGGCCCATGGCAGATTAGGGGCCTGGCTGCAGCTATGGGAGGCCCGTAATCTGCCAGCACCCTATGTCAAAAAATTTAAACACACCAGCAGTGTGAGGAGACCTGAAAGTGGCACATGGCAGAGAGTGTGGCGATGGAGACAGCAGCAATGGGAGGCCGTACAGGGACCCATGAGAGACTCTGGACCTTGGCAGCAGCATGAGGAGGCGGTATATAGGGGCCCATGGCAGATTAGGGGCCTGGCAGCAGCTATGGGAGGCCCGTAATCTGCCTGCACCCTATGTCAAAAAATTTAACACACCAGCAGTGTGAAGAGACCTGAAAGTGGCACATGGCAGCAGAGTGTGGCGATGGAGACAGCAGCAATGGGAGGCCGTACAGGGACCCATGAGAGACTCTGGACTTGGCAGCAGCATGAGGAGGCGGTATATAGGGGCCCATGGCAGATTAGGGGCCTGGCAGCAGCTATGTGAGGCCCGTAATCTGCCTGCACCCTATGTCAAAAAATTTAACACACCAGCAGTGTGAAGAGACCTGAAAGTGGCACATGGCAGCAAGAGTGTGTGGCGATGGAGACAGCAGCAATGGGAGGCCGTACAGGGACCATGACTGAGACTCTAGACTTGGCAGCAGCATGAGGAGGCGGTATATAGGGGCCCATGGCAGATTAGGGGCCTGGCAGCAGCTATGTGAGGCCCGTAATCTGCCTGCACCCTATGTCAAAAAATTAAACACCAGCAGTGTGAAGAGACCTGAAAGTGGACATGGCAGACAGAGGGTGGCGATGGAGACAGCAGCAATGGGAGGCCGTACAGGGACCCATGAGAGAGACTCTAGAATTGGCAGCAGCATGAGGAAAGAAGCAGGTAGGCGGTATATAGGGGCCCATGGCAGATTAGGGGTCTGGGGCAGCAGCTATGTGAGGCCCGTTAATCTGCCTGCACCCTATGTCAAAAAAATTTAACACACCAGCTGTGTGAAGAGACCTGAATAGTGGACATTCAGGCAGAGTCTGGCGAGGACACAGCAGCAATGGGAAGGCCCGTACAAGGACCCATGAGAGACTCTAGG